TATACCACTTTGCAAATAACCACGCATATTTTGGAGTTATCAATCAAAAAGAATTAGAGGATGATATCTCTCGTGCGCGATAATGCATCAATTCTTTAATCAATAACTAAAATTCCACGTGGTTATTTGCAAAATGGTGCAAGACTTTCTTGTTCAGTTTGATCCTAATCTACATGTACACGAGGTACGGGAAACTTCGTGTCAGACGTCCTGTATACTATGATATGTCATGGCAAAAGTAAAATGAAACGAGGCGCATTTTCGCCAATATGAATGGGCCTTAATTCAATTGTTCTTTGTCGGGCCGTGCGTGTGCTAATCGATTTCGAGAAAAAGACAGAAAGAGAGAGAGAAAGTTACGGTTGTCTGTTTCGAATGCGCAGGTATGCACATCTGCGGGTCTACGTGCCACAGAATCTTCGCAAAACAATAAAAACGACGATCGGCCCGTTCGGATGGACGGCCGGCTTTTATGTGCCGTTATGCATCAGAGAAAACGATACTTGACAATTTTATGGAGGAACACGTTTTCGTGTGTACACATCGTGTGCCCATGTGCGTTCACAGAACGCGTATGCGCACGTTTACCGCAACAATATCTTTAGTTCCGTGTCCGATCGAGCGTCTAGTTTCTAGAAGACTGAATTCCACATAGATTTCCTGATACGACGACGACGACGAAGATAAGCGACGGCGACGCAATGTCATAAAATAAAAGCGCGTATAGTTGACATCAAAAAACTGTGAAAGCATACAAATATTTGTGTCGCGAAGACTCAAAAAAAAAAATCGATTAAAAAAATATTTGAAACAAAAGTCGTACTGTTTCATAGAACGATGAGCCTCGCAATTTTTCGAATTGTAACACACTATAAATAAATAGTCTACTATAGATAAAATACTATAGATAAATTAGTCTTCAATCAAGATGAATATAGTAAAATTAACACAATCACTTTATCATATATAACCAATAATGATATTCTTGACATTCTTGCTTATATGAAAAAAATAATTGTGTTAATTTGGCTATATTCATCTTGATTGAAGACTAATGATATATAACCAAGAATACCCAGTGGTAACACTCGCGACGTTAAATAATCTCTATAAAATCCAATAATATTATCCCTTAGAATCCTTCTCTAAAATTTATATCATTTAAAAGAAATTAACGTATCACGCTTGATATCCTTGCCGATTGTACATACATTGTCACGGCGCGGCCGATTCTTATTCCGACTTCTTTCGCGAGATTTCTCTGAGAAGTATCGGGTTATTACATCAATTATGCAAATGCCACGTTTGTAAAAAGGATCATGTGCGCAGGATTTATTTAAGGGCGGTCCTCTCGCGTCGTCGACGTCGTCGTCGTCGGCGCATCGGTCGTCTACTAGTCCCGGCACGTTAGAGTATTTTTATAAGAGCCCAGGGTCGCGAGATGCTGGGAGCAGCAAGGAAGAAGCAAGAGGTGACGAGAGATAAAAGGAAAGAGCAAGGTACCCGGGAGAGTCAGCGAAGAAGTCGGCGAAAGATCGCGGTGGCGGATGACATGGGGCGAGGGAAGGATGTGAAAAATGGAAGAGTGCCGAATGAATGCCACCCCAGCGAGAGGAGACTAAAGACGCGGAAGGGGACCCAATGTCGCGCAAGGTATACAGGGAAAGTGAATGAGGAAGAGGTAGAGAGAGTTTCACGCACGTGTCGACGTTTCATATGTTTAAAAAAAGAAAGGATGAAATAAGACGTCAATTGTTGCGAAAGTCCACACAAAAATAACCGGAAAGTTGCGCCAGCTAGAAATAAAGAAATTATGTCGCAGGAAGAGATGTCGCACTATTTCTGTAGGAATTCACTATTTCTCTGGGGAATTACGCACAATTGTCGCCTTGTTTTCTTAAGAGGCTCATTGTCAATTGTTCTTTACCACCCAGCTTATTTCGTTTTCTATTTTCTAAAATGTGTTTTCTTGCTATGTGCGTGATAGCAATTGACTGATATCGTAAAATTAATTAATAGTAATAATTTCAACCGCTTCGTACGCGAATCACTTAATTCTTGAGTTTCATAAAAATTTAATATATTGTTAAATTTAATATTTAATTAATATACTGTTAAACTTAATATATTTAATCATATATATACTGTCCCCTCTCCCTCTACCCCACTTGAAAAGAATTCTCGAGTGAAAACACAATCTCGTAAAGAATAAAGCTATACCTTCCAGGTTAAATAAATGTTCAATCTTGTCATTTCAATATTAACATTCGCGAATATAATTACCCGAGTCGAAATTTGTAATAATGGATAATGGTTCAATAATATATCAATAGAGGTGCGCAACAGCATTTGCGAAATTCGCACTACTCTGTTGCGTTGATATATGTATATCATTGAACTGATTGCGTAGCTAGATAGCGTAGATAATGTAGCTTTTCTTTACCTTATGATGACGAAATGAAGTAATTTAGGGCATATCAGTGCCGCGCGATGCCAATTATGTATTATTGCTATTATTTCAACTAAAATAGTTCGAAACCACATAGAGAAAAGAATATTCTTATTTGGAGAATATTTTGTTGATATTTTAAAAATAAGATTATACGACGTTGAACGAAGATAAATTAGTCTTCAATCAAGACGAATATAGTAAAGTTAACACAATCACTTTCTCATATATAACCAATATTCTTGATATTCTTGATATTCTTGATCAAAAATAATTGTGTTAATTTGGCTATATTCATCTTGATTGAAGACTAACGATATATAACCAAGAATATTAAAATTGTAATATTCTGTTTAATATAATCTCATTTTCATATTAATCTTATTTTTAAAATATCATCAATAAAAATATTCTCCAAACAACAATATTCTTTTTCTGTACACAAGAGTTTTCCAATTTAACCCTCCCTATTCAAAGCAGCAAATTTATATGCATTGATAAATTCCAAAAAATATATTCACTGGATTATATAATCGATGATGTTAAGTCATCTGTGTCAGACATAATATAATGTACAAAATATAATATAAAATCATCTGTGTAATCAATTTTACGCAATAGCGCGTATCCTACTTATTTTCTTGAAAATCAATGCGATTTATAATACATGCACTACGTCATATGATGCTCTCTCTGAGCACTGGAATTCGACACTCACCATTCTGCGTGCAGGTTTACTGATGTGTAGCCGAGCCAGCCGGGGCGTAGTCAGGTCCACCGATGAAACTTTGCGTCCTCTGCAACCGCTGCATCCATAACCGCCGTTCCGCATTTGGAACTCGGTCCTCTGCGTTCTGCGTCGTCTCACATTGATTGCAGTTCATTTCACAATATTTCACCGCACTCGCGACGCAATTGATATCGACATGTTAACAGCGCGCGCCGGCCGAATGTCTCAATGGCGCATCGATGAAAAGTTTCAATCTATCGTGATCCGAAATGTAATCCGCGAGACCGAATCGAACGGGACAAAATCGGTATCTCGCGAAATTCTTTAACGAACGTCGCGGTGCGAATGTCGCAGTTCCTTAGGAATACATTCGCGTCACGATCGCTGCCAGTACTGCAGGAACGCGCTCGCAAACGCACACAATTGATTTAGCCATTTCAAGACTCGCGAATCGCCTGTAAAGTGTCGCGAAAACCGAAAGCCGGCCGGTTAGCAGCGAATCGATCGACACTGCACGCGCGCGAACTGATCGGCCAGATCGTGATTGTAGCGTGAGATTTTCACGCCCGATGGCTTCGCCGTACCACAGCGAAGATAAGTCCGCAATATTTCTGCGGAGACAGCTTTCCTAACGGCGAAATCGCGTAAACATACGAAATCGTAAACGGGAAATCACGGGCGTATCGCAAGAAATCTGTGAATGCTCGCGAAGCGAGCAAAACGTCATTTCCATTACTGGAAGTTTCGATTTCTTTGTCCGATGTAATCGTCCGGCGTAAACAAGCGAAAAACTTTTTGCTTAGTTTCGTGAGTCTCTTTCTGTACATAAACGACTCGTACCCGATGGTTTCGTATCTACGAAATTCTACTCGCGAGAAGTCGAAAAAAAATTCGCGCGACGAGTACGAAATTAACGCAAATAAACAAATAATTGCCAGACGACACGCGCCCACGATTATTATACTAGATCACTTCGCGATAGATCGCGTGCTAGAATTTTTCTCTGCGATACTCTTGATGAATTTAATTTGACGGGATTTGTGCCCGAATGTGGAAGATAATCGCAATGTAAACGCACGTATGATGAATCTAAAGAGCACACGAACGCGGTGATCGCGAAATCTAAATCAGTGCGAGCGAAGTACTCGCAAATTCCACGCACGTGTGGACGTGCTGGCGCAATTCTATTGCGTATTATACACCACTCAAAACATTAGAGAGTTACACTAAATATGCATCTCTATTGAACGTTTTTATAAGTTCAGAGAAAAACATGATGATAGTGATAACTATATAAGTGTATGAGTTTTGTATGTAGAATTTTAATGTATATAGTTTAACAAGCTATACATATTAATTCACACAAAACTTGGATATTTGTCACTTATATAGAGTTACCGCTACTACGTGTATTTTCCTCTGAGTGTTGAACAAAATATAATGAAAGATAAGGGTAAAAATGTTCTTGCTAAATATAACTTAAACTATACAATTATTTTTAGCCTAGTTACATCAAATGATAAATCGACTAGCAATTAAAACATGTGTCTGTCTTTGTTTATCTTGAAGGAAAAACAATATATAATACAAACAGACATATACTCCAACTATTAGTTAACTTACCACTCAATTGGTGCAGTTAAGCCTAAGACAAGTTGCACAGTTTAAGTTAGACTTGGCACCTTTACATATGTATTAGAGAAGTTAAGAATAAATATATTTGATAGGAAAGTATTCAACACTTTAAATTTCTATTAAATACATATCTCTTCTTTATATATGTATTAAGGAAATTAAGAATAAATATATTTGATAGGAAAATATTCAAGGCTTTAAATTTCTGCTAAATAATACAAACACTTGAAGAAATGACCTTCTAATGGTTTTGAGTGATATATGTGGTACATGGACAAAAACAAACATATAAAAATCTACAGCAAGCAAGAATCGCATTGATTTTGTCACTCTGAAAGCTCCTACACCCATCACCTTTTAACTTTTATTCCCATTTGTTTTTCACTCACCAAACGCAAGTCAATGTCGGTTCTGCTACCTCATCTAGAACAAAAACATAACATTTTGGTTATGAGCAAATACTTTTTTATAATTTAATATAGTTATTTAATTATACTAATATTTCATGGAATATATAATATAATTACTAGCTTATTAGAGCGTTATTAGCTTTAAAACTTCGACATAACAAACAAGCAACTGTTGACAGAATATAGGTTAATCCTTTTACGATAATATAATTTATCAGCTATTTAATTATATTATCATATCATTAATTATATTATCATATAATCTAACTTATTGACTTATATAAATTATTGACTTATTTGTTGTGCCAATCTCAGTTTGCGATCGTGAAAGATTCAACGGAGAAATACAAGAGGAAACTTACCTTCGAGTCGACCTTGCTCGGCCCGAACCGGCTCCTCTGGTACGGCTTCAGCATGTTAACGGAACTTCATCCGCCCTCACTACGCGACTGCAACTTCCAATACGTCTGAAAATGATTTCCCCCAATTAGTTGTATATATATATATAATGCTAGAACGTTAGAGAGGTTAGTCGGTTTCGGCGAATCTCGAAGATAGAAAGGCCAAGGCTGTGTTCCGATATTCGCTAGCAGTACTGAAAATTTGTGGTTCATGTTACGTATACTTTACTGAGTTTCGGTACTGGCAGTGAATACGGGAACGCAGCGCAAATGCGGTAGTATCGGAAACGAGATTCAATGTTCACTTCAACTTTGAATCTAATGTAATCTGGCGCACGTTTACCGAGCGAACTTCAGGGTGTTCTCGCTGTTCACGACGACGCCAACACGATGATAATGCACGCAAAGTATCGTAATCCCTCTGACGAATACTTTAACTCGGGTAAACAATTTGGGGAGAGAGAGAGAGAGAGAGAGAGAGAGAGAGAGAGAGATTTGTAAAGAAGTTAAAAAGTCGAATAGAAAAGTTATTTACGACAATATGCGACACACGAGATCAACCGTTTATTTCAGTGTCGAATCTAACGTGATTTGGCTTTATCTAATAAATTTCAGGATGCTCTCGCTGTTCACATGCCAACGCGACAATAACACACGTGAGGTATTCTAAAGAGCTGAGCATAATAAAAAGAATTAGGAATAGGGAATCAAGAATAGAAAATAAGAAAAAGAAAATAGGGGACAGTTCAATATTAAAACAACCTAGGTTGCGTTCCAAAACGTCCTTTTTGAGGAAATTTTACTCGATACTTTATAGTATATATAACGTGAACTATAGGTATTGAGTAAAATTTTTCTCAAAAAGAACGTTTTGGAATGCAAATTCATCAACGTAGAATAGAGGAACAGAGGAATAACGTTATTTCTATTTTTTCTATTCTTCATTCCTTATTCTCTGTTCCCTATTCCTTGTTCCTTTTATTGTGTTCAATCCCTAATCTGTCTGATGAATATGAACGGACTCGCGGAAGAAGAGAGACAAAGACGAGAGGACGAAAAAAAAGGGAGAAGAGAGAGAGAGATAAAGACACAGAGAGATTTTTTTTTAGCCGATTAGTAAAAGCTTCTCTCACGGCGAGAAATACTAGCATCGTAAAGTTACGATATGGACGCGTGTATCAGCAAAATACATTTTATTTCTTACTTCAACTCATACACCAAGCTTACTCCGCGTATTGTAGACGAGCCTTACCCCTTGTCCACAATCTTGCTTTAATCTTTAAGCCATAATAAATTAACCAACCACAGTCGATTATTTTAAAAATAATCAACTGTGATTTCTTAAGGCTTAGGAATTAAAGCAAGGTTATGGACAAGAGGTCAAAGTCCGAAAGGTTACGTACGGCGGTACGAAAAGCGCGATTCAGGTCGTTTCTACTTCGTTTCTACTTCGTTTCTTCTCTCGGATCTAACGTAATATGGCTTTACCTAATTAATGCTCTCGGCGTTCACGACGACGCCGGCACAACGATAATGCACAGGAGATGGGTGAAGAAGATCGAGCGTTGCCTCCCGTCGCCTCCCCGCGCCGTGTCTAAGACGGTAGTGGCCGCGTGATGTCGCGCGGCGTCACGCAGCGACGAGTGTATCAGCGCGCGCGGGGAGAGTCGCGCGACTTTCAAAACAATAACAACGCGCGTCAGACAATAAACACGCTCAACGGAACTCTTCGGCCGCGATCTGTTACACGCTCCCAACGGCCGCGAGCGTCAATGGCTGTGTTCAGCAGAAAAAGTTGCTTTGCTGCTTTACTGTTGTAAAATTCGTGAATCTGATTGGAGTGTGCTCTTAATTTTGGTTAAATCCAAGAGCATGTACCAATCAGATTCATGAATTTTACAACAGTTGCAAAGCAGCTTTCTCTGCTGATTGCAGCCAATGGCTGCGTTCAGCAGGACAACGGTTGCACAACTGTTTTATGATTTTCTGCTGAACGGTATTTAACGCATTCAGCGGCGCAACATGTTTACTTAGCGGTCGCCATGTTTTTCAGCGACCTGAAAGTACGCTGAATCCAAGCACGTGTTTAGCAAGATAGATGTCTTCAGTTTTATTGAAGCACAATATACATATATATATATATATATATATATATATATATATATATATATATATATA